GGCAGAGGCGGCGTAGCCCTGAGTTCGTGTCCTGCCCGGCCGGTCGCCTCCCGGGTTTTATGCGTCCCCAACCCCCGCCCCCCATCCTGGCCGGGAGGCGTCGCGGGCACTCGAGACGCGTCCTGAACCCGGGCCGCGCCAATCGGCTGCGAAGGCGACTCTGGGCCCCGCCCCCGGCGCAGTCCCCCGGGGTGCCTGGCCCAGTGGCTGCGGGGTAACCTGGCGCTGGGGCATCTGAGTGACGCGACCCGGTGACCGCGGGGCGGCTTGGCACCTGGGGAAGGGGAGGACAACGGGGAGGAGTCGAGCGGACGTCTGGGCGGCGTGGGCTCGAGGCCAGCCCTCGGAACGGGGCCGGGTCGTGTCCTTGTTGACAAGTCTGAGACCTTCTCAAGGTCACGTGTTGCTGGCCAGAAACTATTTCCAAGAACCTGGGCTGTGCGTGCTCATTGGTTCTCGCCCAGAGCGGGACTTTTACAGTAGCCAATAGCTGCGTCCAAAAGTATGGACTTCTCTGCCATTGGACGGAGAAAGGCATAAACACCTAAGAGCCCCGCCCCTCCCGCCTCTGCAGACAAGCACAGGGCCGGGCGGGGTTCGGAGTTCCCCTTAGGCTGCTCCTGTGGGGATAAAGGCGGTCCATTAGTTTTTCTCCAGCACCGCATTCTTTCCAGGAGGTTTAAGTCTGTTAATTAAAAATAATTAAATAGGGATAAGTGTGTCGGTTTGACGTCCCTTCCTTTTCTGGAATCATAGTTGTGCACTCTGTCCCACTGTACCAAACGTCCTTACTCCAAATCTTAGACATTCTGTTCTACCCTCAAATGTCCAGCACAGACTGCTCCAAGAGGTCTTCCGTGATTGTTTCTCCCAGCTTCTTCCAAATGTGGCCTTTGTCATCCATGGCATTATACCGTAGCCACTTATGTTCTTATATTATCCTTTCCTGTATCCCCCTCCTGGGCCAGTTCAGGGTGAGAGCTATGTCTGATGCATCTTTGTCATTTCTACCCTGCTTTGTCACAACTCAATACTTGTTAAATTCATGACGGTTGAAACACACAGCCCTGTCATAGAAGTCTCATCCTAACCTCTTTCCCCTCGCTCAACACTCTGAAGGGACTAGGGAACAAATCCAGTGTCTGGGAAAGCGTAAGAGAGTTGGTTACAAATGTATGAAATGGGAACTCATGGGATGTTCAAGTGTGTCATAAAGGAGCCCCTTTGGCCTCCTGCCCCTACATTTATAAACAGAATTCTGACAGTCATGGGTAGTCCTAAGCTCCACAGTCATTCTTTGCCTTTTTTTCCCCAGGAGATCTCACTCAGTCACAAGAATGATTTCCACTTTCTCTCTCTAGCACAAACTCTCCCCAGATAGCCAGGTTCCTGTATTCAGCTGCCCATTTGACTTCTCCACTTGGATGTCAAATGAGCATTCATTTTGCTCCTTTCAAATCCACCACCACTACTGGGGATCTGAGCCAGTCCTGGAAGACCCTTTGTCACTTGTGTGGCCTCGTGTGGAGGTACCACATTCACTATCCTCTTGCTTCTCTCCTTGTCTTTATATTACCTGTAGATGATCTAGGATTTGTGACTTCCCAGTGTGCCCAAATATTTTGCTCAGACCTACGAGAAACCACCCCATGAAGATATTCACTATTCATAATTTTCCAGTGATGAGGAAGAGACTTGAGTTCTTAGAGAATATTGTGGAATAATCCAAGTGCAGACTCCAGCAATTGCACTTGGATGAGACAGGAAAACTAAACCCCAGAACAATAGTTCAAACGCTTCCCTTCAGCTGAAACAATTGTGGTAACACGGACAAGCTCCAAATGGCATTTCCACTTATAGATAAGTTTTGATACCACTATAATTTGTATTTTTGTACTTGGAGTCCTTTATTAAATATTTACATAGCTCAATGAAGCAAAGAAATCTGTTCGAGAAGCCAAAAGACTAAATATGACTCTTTGGATGAAGCAAGTTAATTTAAGGTGAAAGTTTCTTCTTTTTCTTGGATTACATCCTACGAACAGAAGTAAAAGAAAAGCAGGCACTCGCTTTTCTTACTGTGTGTAGGATTTTGAATATACAAAAATATATATTACACAGAATTCCATTCTGATCTTCAGAGAAAGGGCAATGGAATACATTACAGGCAGGTCTAATTTGGGAAATGTCTGTTCCATTTCACTGAGGTCCAGTGAGTGCTTGACCTGACTTACCCAACACCATTACCCTGCGGTTGTGGGGTGATTAACTATCAAGTGAAGTCCTATGATGTTCCCAGAGATGAAAGGCTAAATGTGAACCTGGGTCACCAAGCTTTGGTCTCCATGCCATCCCATCTAATAATATTTACCAAGTTACTCTCACAGGGCATTGCATTCTCCTGTGTCACTCCTGTGTGGTGGGAACTGCTATAATTGGCAGCACTGATGGTGGCTCAGGTCAAGTTGTTTACCCAGTTGGCTAAGATGCTGCGTGTCGCCACAATTAGAGAGTGACCTGAGAAGAGAGCTGTACTTCCCTTCTCGGGTTGACCACTGATCACGGTGGTGATCCAGCTGGGGCAGAGGTGAGGTGAAGAGTATTTGGGAGCAATGAGTATGATAAATAGAACGAGAGGATATCACATGATTTAGTTCAGGGGGATGGTGAGCTGCCTCCTTGCAGACAGTGCTGAGCACAGTATCCCTGCTTGGGATACCTGATTCTTATAATTTTCAGGAGCACTCTTACCTAGAATGAAAAATATTCTCTCCAATTTGACAAGTCGTATCAGGTCCCTTAAAGAGAAGCCTATTCAATTTTTCCACCTGTAGGAACATATTCCAAGGAAACAACTAAAAAAACACGTAACAGGAACTACAAAGTCATGATGGAAAGATTAACAGAATTGACTATTGAACATTTAAAGTTAACAAATGAACAGTAGACTTGGAGAAAATATTTAGAGAGTATGTAATACACAGATGATAATTGAAGAAACGGCTGTTTCAGCAGCGAACAAAAGGGTCATAATCTGTTCCCCTGTGGCGAATACAGATTTGCAGGAGAGTACGTGTCACAAAAGCAAATGTGCAGAAGCCTACACATTTAAGAGGAGACAAGGGCTCTGAAGAAAGTGATTGTGAAGGGTAAAATGGGCTGGCACCACCTTAGAGTTGGCAACCAGGTAAGGTCTGTCTGAAAAAAATGACATTTAAAAGACCTGGAGCAGACCTGGTACAATCCCAACACTTTGAGAGGCTGAGGTGGGAAGATTGCCTGAGCCCAGAAGTTTGAGACCAGCTTGGGCAACATAGCAAGATCTTGTCTCTAAAAAAATCAGAATATTAGCTGGGCATGATAGTGCATGCCTGTAGTCCCAGCTACCCTGGAAGCTGAGGCAGAAGGACCGCCTGAGCTCACGAGGTCAAGGCTGCAGTGAGTTGAGATCGTGCTACCACAGTTCAGTCTGGATGACAGTGAGATCCCAACTCAGATAGATAGATAGATAGATAGATAGATTTAAAAAGCTGGAACAACCTTCTATGAGGATGAGAGGGAACACCAGTCAAAGCATACTGGTGAAGGTCCTGGGCCAAGTCACCAATGGTCCCACTGTGTCTTGTAGCCAGTGTTAACTGGTACCAGGTGTCAGAGCCTGCACTGGACTAGACACCCTAGGAAGAGCAAAAGCATCTGCTCTCAAGTCCCTTAGATTAATAATGGATGATGGAAACATTAGCCAACTATTTTTTAATTTATAAAAATTAAATTTATACTTTAATTTTTGCCTCAGGGCAAAATCTATAATTAAATGTATTTTTAAAAACAGTC